TGAAATTGAATGGCGATAATTCATTCAAAGGAAGCAGTGGTTGGTTGGAAAAGTTCAAAAATCGGCATGGTATACATGAACTGAAAATCAAAGGTGAAAAATTGAGCACCGCAAGTATTGAAGTTGTTGACGAATATAAAAAAAAGTTGAAAGATATGATAGATGAATATGGTTTGACACGCGATAAAATTTATTCGACTGAACTAATATAAATCCCTCTTGTATTGTCAAATAAAACATACAAATATAATTTGAGAGTTATACTATGAATTTTTTTAATGTTTTTGTTAACTGTCTTTTCGATTATCTGTCATACCCTTGGTCCAGTGCCCTGACAGATAATTGAGGTTCCACTGTATGTATATTAAAAGATTTGTGAAATAAAGGTTTAATAAAAATAAATAAAATATATATGTACTTAATGCAGACATATTGCATAATTATTATCTTAGCACAGGTTATGCTAAGATACTAATTATTTAGGCAGTTAACCATATGAGTTATTAACTACCCCATAAAATTTAAATGAGGCAATGTTTATTATGTGTGACATTTAAAAAATATATTATAAAAACAGCTGCCAACTGCATTATTAGTACATATTTAAACAGTTTAAATGATTCTTTTTCACATAAAAACATTCTAAAATAATATTCTATCAAAATTATGAGATTCTACAATTTAATAAAGACAAGATCTATCATTTAAAATATTTACAAGATTGGCATCAACTATTGTACTAACTTTAACCAAGCAAAGGCTGATATTAACATTGTACACAAAAATAATAATGGAGAAAATTTCAAATGAGAGGATGTGTTACACCCATCTTTTGTGTTACATGTACAATATTCCATAAATATATTGTAAGTACCTGTCCTCAATAGGCAGTATCTTTCGTCACCTCCTATACCAGGTTCTCCTAAATAAGCACAGCTTCTGATATATTTCCAAACACCATTAACTAAAAGTAAAAGAATATAGCATAAGTAAAGATTTTAAATCATAATGTAATTTCCAAATAGTCATAAAAAAATAATAAAGTTTCTGACATAAATGTAATATAAATTTCCCAGTAGAAATATGAATCCCTGATGAACTTTTTAATAGTAAAGGAGAAGAGAATTATAGCATGTTCCTGTACAATATACCACTGCAAACTTCAAAGTAGTTTAAAGAACAACATTAACATTTACCTTTCTGTCTAATTTTTCTGCACATTGTTGGCCTCACACCTTTTAAATAATCCAATTCTTTCAAAGTAGCACAATCAGTAATTGCAAATGTTGTGTTATCGAAAGGATCTGAACATTTTGGATCAGCATCAGATCTACAGTCCCAACATTTAATAGAAAAACCTGCAACAAATAGTGACTAATCAGCTATTAGGAATATTTAATATTATTAAATTATAATGGGTGTAACTAACCTTAAAATCAGAACTTAATAATAAAACTAAAATGTGTAACGTTATTTCAAAGCATTTATAATGAAATATGAAAGCAATATACACAATAAAATAATATAATAAAATAGTAGGTTTAATAATAACACAGATGAGGTACTATGGGCGAGGTTCCAGAATTATTTAATATTTTAGATAACTTACCTGACTTTATTAAAACTGATACTATCACAACTGTAGTTATGAAAATAAACTTTAAATTAAGCTCCATATTAAAAATATTACTGTATTTTATTTTCGAATATATTTCAGTATTTTTAAACTAATTGGTCACTTTACAAAAAACATAAACAAAAACTTTTAAACTGCATAATGTGCTGTGATTGATATAGAATATAGAGCTCTTTAACTTTGAAAGTTAGCCACATAGCCACCAGAGTATTGGGCGAGGAAACGCAAAGTGGGCGACGCCTGGTGGTAGATTTCAAAAGCAGCCACTTCGGGAAAACATTGAAATTGTCATTATTTTGTATACTTATTAGCGGCCGGTTTATATTGTAATTAACCATAACTTCGACTTCAAAAAACTATTGCAGTGCTCCTCAATGTTCTTATTATAATTCACAAAAAAATTCCATACATAAGTTTCCGCTGAACGAGAATATGAGAAAAGTTCGGCAATGCATTTTGTGAATTTGCAAACAAATAACCAATGACGTATAATATATAGACTACGCAGTCCCCTATTCTCGCTATAGAATCGAGTGTCCGAAAGATCTCGGCTCAAGGTTGAAGGTATGTTTATCACAACAGCGGCGTGCTCATTTATATGTTAATGACAATAATTATTTTTTAATTAAAATTAAATATTTATGATTTCTTTTTGTTCCCGTCTATAAGAGAACTAATTATTTTGATAAAATAGTATGGCATTTTACTAAAATAGTAAGCAAATAACTCTCAACAATTTAAAATAAAATTTGCTTGTCACACAAAATGGAGAAAATGTTTTCATACGTCCATGATGTTTTCAAACCCTAGATCAACTTCGTGATGCTTCGTAAGAAATCATGAACTTCGTGCACCTTCGTATCAAAACAATAAACAATAACAAAGGTATTCATGTTTTGGACACTTTTTAAAGCGTTCACCGAGTCTATATATTATACGTCATTGCAAATAACCAAGTACTTGACTGTGTGCAGTTTACATTTTACTGAGAACAATTACTTTCCAAGTGTTGATTAAAATATTATTTATATTTTAATACATTTATACTTAATTTACTTTATAGTAACACCTAAAACTAAATTAAGAAGACTGAAGAAAAATGCTGTTCTATCAGCTAAGTTGCCCCAACGGTCTCATGAAGTTATAGTAGAAAACGTAAGGCATAATTTACAAAATATAACGTGCCCAGCTCCAAAAACTGCCTCACCCTCAACTAAAAATCTCTGCCGATCTTGCAACCATATAAATAATTAAGATAATGTAAATTTTACTTCCCGTGTTTCAGACATACTGTAGAAAACAAACATTGAATTTTATTTTTATTCAAGTTTGGGAGTCAATTACCTTACGTATAAACTCGAATCACAAACAAATAAACTTTGAAGAACGTACTCCAACTTTTACTTTGGCAAAACACACGTGTAACTGATTTATATTAAACGTTTTGTACCTTGAGCATGACAAAATAATTTGATTTCCCGAAGTTATCGTCCATCTTTAAAATCTTTAGCGCCCCCTGTTGGAATTGGCTATCGCGAATTGTCATAGCCACGCAATAGGCAACGTAAGTTGACAACTTACTGTTGAAAAAATTGAACAACAGTGATTTAAGTTTGATTATGCTGATCAAAAGTTCTCATTACCCCAAAGACTCAGAAATCCCTAGCGAATTTAAGTTTCTTTTCCAAAACGCCTCAAAAAATGTCCTCTTATGTACCTTTTGAAATAAATATTAATTAGTCATCAAGGTTCTGATTTCTGAGTGAAGATTCTGGGCCAAGCAAATCGAATAAACTCGCTAATTCCATGCGTGTGTTAAAATAAACAAGAGAAGGGAGATCGTAATCATTTTAGTTCTTTTATTCCATACTGAATTCTTTAATCACATATATGTTCTTCGCTATGCTGGGTTGTAAATCGCCAAACGGCCATACGAAATTCAATGGGAAATTCTTAAATTGTTGAATTCCTGCTTCCCTAATTATTTTACATCAAAAGTTATAAGAAACTATTTGTAGAGGACCGAAATATGTATTAGAAACAAATGTAAAAAATTGTTCTACGAATTAAATGTACTTCAAAATTTTGTAAAAATATAAAAAATACATTTTTTAGGCCACCCCTTAAAGTCAGGCCACACGAGGTACAAGAATGTGTATGGCATGTTGCGTTAGGTCATATTGATGATTCTGATATTTGACAATATTTGAATTGTCAATATTTTTATTTTGTGATTAAATCATACACAAAAATAATAAAATACGCAAATTTTCACAAACACTACTACTACTAGTGAACAATAAATATTACTTTGTAAACAATAAATTAAATATTTACAAAGCAATAAAATTTATGTATTCAGTTCACGAAAAATCGCAATAATGTTGTATTCAGGCAATAGTGCGAGCACTGCCAGATCTTTATTTAACCCAATCATAATACACTTCAATTCAATTCCAGGTTATACAAAAATTCAAAGAATTACAATATAGTTTTACTGTGATCCTTCCTTACGATAATTTCTAAATATAAAACTATAACAAATGCTCAAACAATAAGCCATTTTGTACTAACCAGTATCCGACTCGATTGTAAAATTTAGCCAGAATGCGTGACGTTATTTTTGCACACTCTTCAATAATTCGCATTTTTAATACTTCAATATCTGTAAATTTTTGGTAGAGATTTGAGTTTAGATGCCTCTAGATAAAATAATTATTTGGAGCTTATATCTTTCGCTAAATAAAGAACTGACAACTGCCTGAAGTAAACATTTTAATTAATTATTGCTATTTTCTCATCAACTGAATACGTTTTTTAATCACTATATTGTTTTTAAACAATAAATCACAAATTTTGACAATTCAAATATTGTCAAATATCAGAAACATAAATATGACCAAATGCAACATGTCATACACATTCTTGTACCTCGTGTGACCTGACTTTAGGGGTGGCCCGAAAAATGTATTATATTTTTACAAAATTTTGGAATACATTTAATTCGTTGAACAATTTTAACATTTGATTTTAAGGCATATTTTAGTCCTCTACAAATAGTTTATTATGACTTTTGATGTAAAATAATTAGGGAAGCAGGAATTCAACAACGTAGAATTTCCCATTGAATTTCCTATGGCCCGTTTGACGATTCACCACCATGTGTACCTATTCTATAGTCAACATTTTGGGCTTACATAATGCTGGGATGGTGTATTCTTTGGTTTTATATTCAACAGAAAATTGGAGGAGAATAGGAATTATTCCGCGACGACGAGCTGGCCAAATACTCGAGTAGGTGGAGGCCAATAAACTAAAGAAGAAGAATTATTAAAATTTGACAATTTGACATGTACGTTGACATGCGGCGTTGACATGTAGTTTAGATAAAAACAAAAATATGTAAGTTGTGTTGTAAATGTTGTAAATAAATAAAGGATTGTAAAACCAACGAATATAGTTGCTTAAATACTGTTTTAAAATATGGAATTAACAAATAATCATCGATATTTTATCCAATACATGTTAAAAAATGGCGTAACAACGATCAACAATGCACAAAAATATTGTGACTATATCAGTGAAGGTAAATAATAAATACTCGACTCATGCTTAAAATGCATTACTTAAATTTACATAAACATTAAATTAAAGGACACATTAAACCAAACACCTTAAATCTGGAATTATATTTAATATCATAAACACAAATTTAGTGACATACTTTGGTAATATATATTTATAGTGGTGATTGAATTAGTAATATTTGGCTATTGCAAATAAGAAATTTTCTATAATCTAGAATGTTACAATGTTATATTTGCACTTTAATACTAAAATCTAGATTTTGAACCATATTGCTTTCAGTGAGTGAATTAAATTGATTTGTATTCATTATGTATTAGGGTTGCTAGAATATTTATTTGACACCGAATTTTCAGTTAAGGCATCTGCAAGGCATTTTTTGTTTTCTTTGAAAGACTTTTCTGGGCATTCATAAACAGTCTGCCTCCGGCTTAAAAAAAAACAATCATAGAATTAGGAACTCATAAAATTTCCTTTTTCGTTATTGACAAGTCTACTAGATCATGTGCATTCTAAAACTTGAATTTGTCCCCCATTTCAGTCTATTACAAGTCACAAAAATCAGCATGGATGAATTCAGATTTGTTTCAAGATACAACAGAAACAAAAATAATAGTTAAAAATGAGAGCCTTAATATCAATTGCTGGGCAAACACGAGACAAAGTACCAAATAACAAATTAAGAGATCTCTGTAAAACATAATATATTGTATGAAGAGAAAAATAGAGATGATGAAAATTTAACCAGTATCTTACATAATTGGATAGTGGGAGAGTGGCCTGAACAAAAAGAGATTTAAGACTAATGGGTGGCACACCATCAGAAAGACCTTAAAAGATGACGAGATAGCTGGCAGTAAATGTCATAAAAGACTGTAGCTTTTGATCAAACCAGAACAGTCCTAGTGTCTAATATATGTAGCAGATTGTGATGTTATGCATCCTTTCTTTGCTGTAGATTTTTTAGGAGTGCTATGACAGTTGATTTCCCATTTTGTTATATTTCCCCACTTTCAGGATTCTAGGTTGGAGTTGTCTGGCCCTGTAGTATTGCCAACTTTGATACTTTTTATAGCAGTCAAGACACCTAATAAACTATTATTCTTTTAGGTGAAATTGAGAGCCTGGCCCAATTAAAAACTTTAGTAATAGAAATTAATAGAGAAATATCAAAACAATGCTACAAATTAGTATTTAATACTTGTGAAGTTACCAATGAACCTTATTTAATATGGCTTAATACAAAAAATGATGATATATCAAAATTACAGATAAGTTATTCTTCTTTGGAACTAGAATATTTTCATGTGATTCTTCAAGAGATTTTACGGTCAGAAGAACATAGGATAACTTTCATTGTATGCTTAAATTTAACTTCTACACTTACAGCATCTTACAGTAGGGAAAATGGAGAACAGGTTTTAAGAAAATGGATTAAAAATGGATATTTTATCAATAAAAATCCTTATGTATATCTTGGGCCTAGACTTATATTAGAATTTACATCATATTTAAAAACCCACTTGCCTGATTCAATATGTAATTTATGTTCTGAACTGGTATTCTGGGTAAGTACAAAACTATTATACTATACTATACAATTCAAGCCAATATAGACAAAATATTATTTTAGTTAACAATATCAGATCTAAGTCATCTTGTTTTGTATTAAATTTGCAAAATAAAAGTATATTTCTGTTTATAAATCAGCCATGTTTTTACATATCTTAATGAAGATTAGACAATACTTTTTTTAACACTGATAAATAAGATTATATTATTATATTTGAGATAACTTGTAGGATGTTTTGTTTCACTATAATTTCGATACTATTAGTGTTTATATGCCCCAAAATATATTCCCACAGTACTTAATATTTATAAATGCATTTAAAATGCTTTGGGATGGGACAGTTTTGTACTAGTTTGACTTCTAGGTAGGCTTATATGACATTGATAGAAAAAAAAATGATAGTGTTAAGTTTTTTATAAACTGTTAATAAACAGTTTTTAATGCGCATATAGTTTTCTATAAAACTAAGCATAAAAAATTCCATATATTACACTTTTAGTGAAATTGGCTGAGTATTTTAATAGCAGAAGACAGGTTTTTAGCTGCTCTATGCAGGTTGTCTGGAGGGAGATTAATCCCATTTGTGGTCAGTTTTTAGTAGCAAACCATCTGAAATTAAATTATAGGGGAATGATTTTAATAAGGCCAGATTGCTTGAAATTTATTTTTTTACATGATTCAATTTAAACCACCATGTAACTTTTAATTAACTAACTTAGTTTTATTTTGTATGGGGTAGGTTGTTACAGTGGAAATATGCCCCTTTTAATGGTGGAACAAATTCCCCTAACTACATTGTACACTTAACTGATTATTAGCCCTTTTACCACATCATCAATTTCAATTTTTTCTATACCATTCAATATGCCACTTGTTACGATAAAAGCAATAAGGTAATGAATCAGTAGTGGTCAGTGTTAAGGACGGAAATAAAACAAAAATATATTTTTGGTGCCTACTTTAAGTTATAATTCCAACTAAAATTTTAATAAACGCTTGAGATGTGTATTATTTACAATTAATTTTTTCTGTCTTGAAGTTTTAAAAATAAGAAACATAAAAAAATCTTACGTATAGTTATGCAAAAAATCAGTAGTTGTCAGTGCAATAAAACAAAATATCAGTTGTTGTCATGAAAAAAAATCAGTGATGGTCACAAACGTACTTCAGCCACATTTAGCCATCTACATCTATGGGAGTTTTGAATTCATACCGAACTCTGTCTCCTAAGGTATTTAGAGTAGGAGTAGAAAGACAACTTATAATTTGATTTAAATTAATTACACTAACATCTTTTTCATTCAATTTAAACAATGTTTTTAGGTCATTGCAACAGTTCATCGCAACCACTTCATACTCAGTTTTTTCATAAATGTCCTGTATTATACACGCATATTTATGAAACTTCTTCTTACCAGGAAATTGTACTAACACGAAATCTCCCTTCTTATATATCCACTGGTTCAAGTCACTCTCAACATCATTTTCTTCCAGTATAGTTTCTTTTTCCATGTATCCCTCAAAGTCACTTACTATATCATCTATACTACTACCAGATTCGACCCACACTTCCTCAGTTTCAGAGTCAGACCATTCTTTCTGACGCTTCTTTTTGGTCCTCTTTAAAACCATTTTATTTTCCTTTTCTTGTAGTTTCAACTGTTTTGCTTTTTCTTTCTCTTCTTTCACCTTTGCTCTTTGTTCAGCTCTCAATCTTTTTGTTCTTTCTAGTTCCAATTTTTCCTTTTCTTTTCTTAAATGGTATTCTTGCCACTGTTTAGATGATGCAACAAATGGAATTTTCTCTTTTTTTCGTCTTTTATTTCCTGTATCCATTATTTCAGGCCAATGCAATGCTTGTTTGAAAGGAGTTGGGATTGTCTGACCATCTATGATTAATTTCTTTTTAACAACTTCAACTTTTACACGCTGAACGCCAGACTTTTCAATTGGTGAGCTATTTATATTCCTTATGAGCTTGTCGGTTGGAGTACATATATCTGCAATGGCAACTGTAGACACCCGATTAATATTTGAAGGTCCTGGATGCGGCTCATGTGCAGAAATATCAATTAAAGGAGTGGTTTTTGTTTTGAGGTCCTCGGGTTCAGGATTTTGTAATATTGCTGCAGGGGCATCGGAAACTACTGATATATTACTTTCTTCCCTGCTTTCCCTATTTAGTTCTGTACAAGTGTTTAATACCTTCCTGTAAAATTCAAAAAGTGCTAGAAATTTATTTTCTCCTGTCCATTCATCATTGCTTTCTTTAAAATCAGTTAACAACTTTGCATCAAGATGTTTCTCTAAAAAGGCCAAGCCATCTTTGAATTCTTGTTTAGTTTTATCAGAATTGTGAACTTCAAGAATTGGTAAGTTATCAGTATTTTCTTCTTTTGGAAATTGAATAGCCTCAAAATTCCACGGTATAAGACCACATCTTCGAAATCCATTTTTCAAAATCTCTTTAGTAATCCTTTCTTGAAGGACCTGTTCAAGTAAAGGACAAAAGTCTCTTTTCCGTTAAAACTGGATTCTCAAGGTGTTCATTTCGCCACTGGTGCACCTTTTGTTTCCACCCTTCCTTGAGTGTTCTAAATACTGCTACATCCATCGGTTGTAGGAGTTGTGTAGCATTCGGATATAATGCGATCAAAATTATACCGTTTTCATCACAAAACTTGCTTGTATGGTAGGTTAGATGGGAGACATGACCATCGATAAAATAATTACTGGCAAAACAATCTTCTCTCGAATTAACCATGGGTGAAATAGATTAGTGATATATTCATAAAAATTTGGACCATTCATCCATCCTGAGTCGGATTTACCGATTCCCCACCTTTCAGGAACACTATTCGCAATATCACGCGGTACCCTGTCATACTTAAAGACTACCATTGGAGGTGCTACTTTTCCTGCTGCACTTGCTGTAACCAATACAGTTAAGCATTCTTTTTCATCCGAATTCACTCGTTGATATACGTTTTTTTGCCCTCTGCTTGCTAGTACTTTATTACCTTTAGGGTTCAGGAAAAAAGCTGACTCGTCTCCATTATAGACTCGGCTTGGATCTAGTAAGATGTCAAAATTACCACTTTCTTTCAAGAATAATGAAACTTCTTTAAACCAGTTTTTAATTCCTTGTTTAGATACAGATGCTCTGGTAATTGTTAGGTTCTGCGCTGTTCGGATTGAAATTTCTGGATGACGGATTTTAAAACGTTGTAGCCACCCTAATGTTGGTCGATCATCTTTAAACGGGTTTTTTCTTTTTAATTCTCGAATCAACAATTGAACACTATCTAGCATTTCATCTTTTGTGATAGGGAAACGATATGGCTCATTTTCCGAATCCATGTAACCAAAATAGATTCCTCTTGCTGAGATAAAATTGTTTCTGGGCCCATTCGACGTATCTTTGGAGACTTGCCTTTTGACTTATTAGACAGTGTCATTCTTGGAACGTTATGATTTCTTGCAGCAGTAGCAACTGGAACCCCACGAGAAATATCTTCTAAGGCCCTGTCCATCTGCCATTCTTCGTAATTAAATAATTTGCGTCGTTGAGACATAATTTTATTTATTTCTTTCCTGAAACAATGATATATTCTAGCGGCACAATATAAAAAACTGTAGAGACACGCATTCATAAGTAACTATTAATGCAGAAAATAGGATAAATATTATAGAAAGAGGCATTAGTGACAGTGATGCCAACTACTGATTAGTTAAAATTGGTTCGTAATCAGTACATGGCACCAAATGACCACAACTGATTTTTACCATATAGTCATAATCAGTAGATGTCATCCCTAGTTTTAGCAAAAAATAACCTCAAACAATTTCAAAGACCTATTAACATTTTTGTAAAATGCTTCATTAAAAGCTCCAACTTGAAACTGCATTATAAATTACTATAGAAATTATATTACAGCCAAAATTAAAAATTACCTTTCTTAACACTTTCACTAAGAAAATATAGAAATATTCATTAAAACGTGAGATACACACAAACATTAAAACGCCATATTGGAAATATTGTACAGAGAAACTTCAAACTCGGCTAGTGGCATCTAGATGTTGCCAGGTCTTCATAAATTATGAAATCTCAATGTAATAATGGTTGACAACTAGTAATTTTACCTTATTTTCCTAAGAGTGACAACTACTGATTCAGTGACCACTACTGATTCATTACCTTAATGGTTATTATTACCGTTCAGATACTCAAAAGTCTAGAAAACAACAAACAACCACTTTTTTTCTATATATAACATTTTACTTTTAGGCAGTTGCAAGACTGTTTCAACAAATGAGAGTTTATTTAGAAACCTAAGCTTGTATAATTTTATGAGAGGAATCTCAGAGATTGTAGGAACTCTGGCAGATGTCGCTAATAAGAAATATTGTGATATTTTTCGCAATTTCTCTTCTGGTATACTCATGTGACAACTAACTCAGTCACCTATACTTTTTTGTACTAGACAAGAAAATCCGTTAATTAAGAATGAAAAAAAAAATGAACAAATAAGTGGACACTTTAATGATGTAAAGTACAGATATAATGAGATCAGCACCCATATTTAAATTGTATGTGGCATATTATGGCTTAATCATATTGTTAGCTATGTTAAAATCTGAAAAATCTTTCTTAGTAAGTTACATTTTCATAAAATAAACATAAGTAATTCTCTTGTATTTTTAGGGAAAATCATGTGAATCATGCTATAAAACATTCCATATACATTGTATAAAAAAATATTTAGAAAATCAACAAAATTGCCCATGTTGCCTTACAGAATGGATGTCTTCAATAGAAGACCAGAGTAATGTTGAATATACTAATGAAATAGAACATGCAGATAACAGTCAAACAACTGAATCTGACGTTTCTAATAGCATGGGTATGTAAAGTGTAGTTTTGTATATAAAATATTTAAATTTTATAATTTCTTGTACAATTTTATTTATCTGTTTTCCCGTTGCATACGACACTCGAGATGAAAGAATAGAATTTTAATCACCACATAAAACGGCCTCCTCTCGCGATAGGAACCAATTCTTAAGTACTAATAGGGAGACGAAATTAAGTACCCATAAAAAAAAACAGTTGATACTCAGCATTCAAAAGAGTGTGTTTGCAATAATTGGAACAACGAATCTAAAAGAGGAAATTAAATGATGAATTGGTCATATTATTTCACAAATCACTTTTACATTTTTGTCGTAATTTATTAATCTTTAGTATATGCACGCAACTATAGTCTGTCCCAAACCCTTCTTTCAGTGCGTCACTAAATGTGACGCCATATAGGATTTTAAGGATGTTGAAAATTATTGCATGACATTTTAGTTAAATCTGACAATTGCAGGATCACAATCGGTTAAATGTGAAAAGGTTATCTTTTTTTATATGACGCATTGAAAGACGGATTTGGGACGGACTGTACCAATTATTTGTCCATTTTTCTAATTAAAAAACTATGTAACATCACACAGATATATTATAAAATTAGTATTTCTTGTTGGGTTTAGATTTAATAAGTAAAATTAAATTAAATCTGAGATATAAATTATATCAGTCAATACATGAGATATCAATTTTTACTTCTGTCAAGTCATTAATGTCAGTGTCCCGTTTTACATTTTAAATCTTGACAAAGGCAAGGGTTTGCTGCTGAAACGTTGATTTCAATGGACAATAAAATCTAGTTTCAAATTTAATATTACTTATTGAACCTAAAACCAAGAAATACTAAATTTATATTATAATATAGTATGGTGCATGAAACGTTACTTTCTTGTTCTGAAAGCATTTTTCATAAAAAAGAAACCACACAATCTAAGCCCTAAATCCACCCAAACTTTTGAGTACATTCAAATCAAATGAATTTTGTGGCATCATTAGTTTAATACATTATCTTTAAAAATTTTTTTTAGTAATTACTATTTAAATGGGAATAAGCCACAATAAAAGGTTTAAAGTACATTTATTAACGATTCAATTTCCAGTTCGGAAATTGTTCTCAAAATACAAACATTAGGATTATTAAACATTATTTTTTGCCTCTTACCACTTTTTTCAAAAAACAGTTTTTATTGTGTTACGTTTATAAAAATTATGTGCAACTAATAAATGGCTTAAATGAATTAACAAGAACAAAAAATGTCTATAACCTCTATAAATATGATATTACAATAAATGTTCAAAATGACCCCCATTTTCTTCAATACCGGATGCGCTAAAAAATCATATTTTTCTGACCAAATTGATTTGAAGCTTCAATTATTCTAACCCTCAGTGTTGTTCGTTCTCAATTGTTACAGAATACACTTTCTCTAAAGCTTTCTCTACACTTTCTCAAAAGCATAATTCCATCGGGTTAAGACCTGGACTTCTGGGTGGCCAAGAAATAGGTACGTCACTACCCCTTCAAAATCCACCGACCAGGATACTGCCTGCAAAGGTATTCCCGGATTTCATTACTGTGATGCGGTGGAGCTCCGTCTTATAGAAACCACATATTTTGCCTTATTGCAATATTCACTTCTTCCAAATACTCTTGTAAATAGTTTGCCAAAAACTGCAAATAATTATCACCATTTAAATTGTTGGGAAGAAATACTGGGCCTATTAGATTGTTATCCACAATTCCTGTCCGAACATTAACTTTGAAAGTCCTTTGGTGATGAGTCGTTTTTTTGGCGTGAGGAGATTCGTCGACCCAAATGTGCTCGTTATGATAGTTCGTTATTCTATTTCTACTGAAGGTAGCCTCGTTGGTAAACAAAATATTTCTAATACATTTAACATTTCGAGTGTTTTCCATTAACAAGTGATGGGATTAAAGCAGCTGATTATTTAAATGCCTCCAAACCCTTACGTGAGGAACATTTAGTTGAGCTGCTATTACCCTTGTACTTGTTCCAGGGACGTCTTCAATGATTTCTAAAATGTTTTCATCAGTTGCATCCATTATTGGACGACCACTATTGCCAACAACTTGCGGTTGGAATTGACCCGTTTCACGTAAACGACGATCAATGGTCAGAAATAATCGTCTATCGGGTGTATTTCGATTGAGGTATTTTACTGATAGCGCCTTGCGGCTGCTGCACTATTTCGTTGACATTCACCTACGATATTCCCGATAGTTTATTGAAATCATAATTTAATCTGATCCAACTTACCCAAAGTTAAATGCATATCTGCCATTTCCTGAAATGTGTAGGCCATTGTAATATCAAAATTTTTAATATTACTCTTATTCACACAATAAATGATAGCTTCAAATTATTGACTATTATTGATGGAATTGTTTGTAATTATTGCAGCCGTAGAAACTAATTGTAATTTTATGGCCAAACTAGTTTTTCGAAAAAGTGATAAGAGGCAAAAAAGTTTTAAAAATAATGTGTTAAACTAATGATGTTACAAAATTCATTTGATTTGAACGCACTCAAAAGTTTGGGGGGATTTAGGGCTGCACACCCCTCTTAAAATTTTTCTGTGCGCTTAGATTTTATTGTTTCTTTTGTATGACAAAATGCCTTCAGAACAAGAAAGTAACGTAGTTTAGGAGATAATGCAAAAAAAACAATTTTTATTTTGTAACTTCAACGGGCTGTAACTTTTGTACTAAGGTAAGTTGTATTCAACAAATTTATTTTTGTCCCCGGAATGAGTGAAGAATTTGTCAATATCAAGAGTGGAGAAAAAAAATAGATACTAATTTTTAGATATGACGTAACTCTATCATTTATGAATAGTACTACCTGTATTTCTTGCATGTACTGATATATGTATGCAGGATAGAGAAAAAGTATAGTCCTTTATTATCTAATATATTTTTAAAACCTTTTTAGATGTTGATGACATTTCACCTACGCAAACAAGAACTGGGAGGAGGAGCGGAAGAAAAAATATTTCGATAACATCTACTAATGAAGACATTAACGAACCCGGTCCAAGTACTAGAAAGCGACACAGATAAAATACTAATAAAAGATATAAAATACACATATTTACTCAATGCTAGTAAAATTTCATCTAGTTGTTAATTTTTTTTATTTAACAATTTTATGCGTACATATTTTGTAATAAATTAAATAAACACGCACTGATAACGTTATTTTTGTTTTCTTAATTACTTTTTCCTCAAAGTCTGATCCTTCATCACTTACAGATTTCATCATCATCATCAGTAGCTCGACAACCCTTTCTGGGTCCTGGCTTGTTCTAGGATTTTTCGCCATTCTGTTCTGTTTTTTGCTTTGTTTTTCCAGTTGGTAATCTTAAGTGTTTTCAGGTCTTGTTCCACTTGTTCCATGTATCTAAGTTTGGGTATTCCCTTTGACCTTCTGACATTGTATGCTGTGTATATTTCAAAGTTATATCTTCTGCGCCGTATGTCATTTTCCTTTATCCCCTTATATATGTGTCTAAGGATTTTTCGTTCAAATGCACACTTATAGATTTATAACTATTATTAAAGATGTTTTTGTTATCTAAACTTTCCGCCAGTTGATCATTTTCACTTTCTTGTTCAGTATTATGCCCTACTTGTACCATTGCTTTCTCACTGTTTATGTTCACTGCCCGAATTCTTGGCACAAGCTTCAGCTTTTTGCTTCAATCTGTACCTTCTATACATTACTACTGAACAGGAATCTCGTGAAATGGGCGGAGCTTCTAGTGCGCAGAGAGAGAAAGTATTCGGCCAGAAAAGGATGGAATTTACCCGAACATTACAATCATGGTAAGGCTTGAGGCAAACAATAGATAATTATGACATGTTTTTTTATAACTTTTTTATTGGATTTTATTATATCATATTTTAAATAACATTTATTTATTTATTTATTTTATTAATGACATTTTAAATATACTTGTAATTATTTAGTTCAGTATGCTATTGCTATACTATATAAATGTAATAGAAGAAGAAGAAACAGAATAGTAAATGGACGTGGGCTAGTCCAGACGGAATAACTAAGAGCGAATATGATTATATAATAACAGACAAAAAGCAAATTATTCAAGATGTTACTGTACTCAATAAACTATCAGTAGGAAGCCACCACAGACCAGTAAGAGCTGGAGTAACGATAAATCTACAAAAAGAAAGAGCAAAGATGATAAAAAGTTGCAAACGCATAGTTTGGAATTCACCAAACCATCCAGAAGCATACATAAAAAATATAGCCGAAACTTTACAGAGTAATAATCCCAAACCTCTAAGTATCGACGATCACAATAAATTAATAACAGACTCGGTTAGAAACGCACAACTCAAATTTTGCAAGAAAAATGACACCAAAAGTGAAAAGATTAGCAAACATACAAAAGCTCTCATGGAAATACGAAAAGCGAGAACGAAAAGGGACACAAAGAAGAATATAAAAACTAAATAAAAGAATTTCAACGGAAATTAGAAAATATGTAAGAAGATATAATTTATTTATTATCCCGGTTTTTTATAGCGTTCTTCGCCTTCCGGTTCCCAGTTTCCAGCTACGTCGGTCATTCCATTCGCCAGGGTGAAGGTTTCTTTCCGATATTGCCTTCTGAATGCCGCCCAGCCAGGATTGTTTTGGCCTTCCTCTCTTCCTTCTTTCCCGTGGCGTCCATTTTAAAATTTGGTTTGGCAGCCTGTCGTCGTCCATTCTTTTCACATGACCATACCAGATCAGTTGTTTCCTTTGAATTTCGTCAATGATGGTTGACTTGACTCCCATTATATTTCTGATATGGTCATTTTGTATTCTATCAAGCCTTGATTTTCTAGCTGATTTTCTCCAGAAGTCCATTTCCAATGCAAGTAGGCGTCGCTCAAGGGATTTAGTAAGTTGTCGTGTTTCGCATCCATAGAGCACTATACTTTTAAAGATGGAGTTAAAGAGGAGATGCTTTCTTTGATTTGATAGTTCTTTTGACCATAGCATCGGGTTTAGGCATCCTATCACCCTTTTTCCTTTCACGATTCTTTGCTCTATCTCTTTTTCGCTGCGCCCACTCTAGTTGATTGTTGTTTCCAAATATATATATTCCTCACAGTTCTTGATCGTTTCATGTTCGTTGACCATTAGATCTTCTACTTCATTCCCGATGCATAAGTATTACGTTCTGTTTCTATTTACAGAGAGGTCCATGTTTTAAACAACCGTCTCGTCATGAATTCTAAATCTTCCTTGTCTGCTGCCACTACTACTTGGTCGTCCGCAAAATGTAGAGTGTATAATGTTGTATCGTCGTCAAGTTGGATCCCCATTGTCGTAAGCCTTTTGTTACTGGAAATTCTTCTGATAAGGTGTTGTTTAGTTTGATTTTTGATGATGCTTTATTGTATAATTGTTTGACTGCGGCGATGATCGTGCTATTTAATGAAGATCGTTCAAGAGACTGCCACAGCTTTCTCACAGGAATCGTGTCATATGCTTTTGTGAGATCCACAAATAAAAGATGTATTTCCTGGTTTCTTGCAACTTTTTTTCATTCAGTTGTGTTAGGGTAAATATGTAGTCTACGCAAGATCTTCCAGCTCTAAATTCTGCTTGCTGTTCAATTTCATGAGGTTCGTATTCTTTCTCAATCATGTTTTTTAAGATTTTACCAAACATCCTGCTAAAGGTACTGGTGACAGAGATACATATGTAGTTTCCGCAAATATCTTTTGGACCTTTTTTGTGAATTGGAGTAATCCATGCTTCTTTCCAACTATAAGTTGGGAAGAAGATATAATACTAATGTAATTACTCAAACAGTAGAAGAGAACAACGGGTAATAAAAAGAAAACTTACACAACGTAAAAAAGAAATATACAAGCTGAGAGATAAAGACGGAAAGGCAACAACAGATAAACAAAACATTCTGAAAATAACCAGAGAGTTTTATAAAGACCTCTATACCAGCCAAAGACCACAAGACAATTTCCCGACACGAGTAAAGACTCTCATAAATCAGGGATCGGAAATACTTTTAACCATTACTGTGTCAGAAGTAAGAGCAGCTTTAAAGGAAAAGAAGAACCATCGATCGCCTGGTGATGATGGGCTCGATATCGAGGCAATAAAAGCAGGAGGAGAAATTTTATTAAAATCAGTAAGCGAACTGTTTAATAAATGCTTACATGCGGGTACGATTCCGAAACACTGGAACAATGCAGTAATAGTCTTGTTACACAAAAAAGACGATATTACTAAATTAGAAAATTATAGACCCATCAGCCTCTTGACACATATGTACAAACTCTTTATGAAAATCTTAACAAAGAGGCTAACACCTAAACTTGATTTCTATCAGCCCAAAGAACAGACAGGCTTCAGGGCAGGATATGGCACAAATGACCATTTGCATACCATAAAGATCTTAATAAAAAACTACCTCGAGTACAACATACCACTGGTTCTTGCATTTGTCGATTACGAGAAGGCTTTTGATTCTGTAGAGTTTGAAACAATACTGGAAGCCCTAAATCAAAGCCGAATAGATTACAGGTACACGACACTAATCAAAAACATCTACGAGAACGCTACATCAAGTACACGACTACACGAAGACACAGAAAAATTCAGCTTAGGTTGAGGAGTTAGACAAGGAGACAATATTTCACCAAAATTGTTCACGGCAGCTCTAGTCAATATTTAAGAGCACTCAATGGCAAGATATGAGCATCAATATTGATGGAGAAAGATTAAATCACCTAAGGTGTGCAGATGATGTGGTATTAATCGCAGATAACTTACATGATACAGTTTATATGATGCATTCGCTTAAAAGTCTGTCTGAAAAAGCAGGATTAAATATAAACTTTGAGAAAACTAAACTTATAACAAATCTCTTAATGAGTGGAAATATAACTATTGACAATAATACCATACAACAAACAGACACTTACAAATATCTGGGATACGAAATCAAAATAAGCAGAGACAATCAAACACATGAAATACAGAGGCGAATAGGCCTAAAATGGGCAGCATTTGGCAAATTAAGCCATATTCTAAAAACTTCAATTCCCATGTGTCTCAAGCGAGAGGTTTATAACCAATGTGTTTTGCCTGTACAAACTTATGGAGCAGAGACTTGTAACACTCACGCAAAAATCTGCGAATAAACTCAGAGTTACACAACGAGCCATGGAACGTGCAATGCTGAACGTGAGCCTTCGAGACCACATAACAAACCAAAAAATCAGACAAAGATCAGGAGTTCAAGACGTCATCAAAAGAACCACGGCGCTTAAGTGGAACTGGGCAGGGCACTTAGTCAGAACACAAAATGGACGGTGGATAAGAGGTATTATGGAATGGAGGTTCAGAAACTATAAAAGAAGCCGAGGACGACTACCGACTAGATGGACCGATGATATAAAACGTGTAGCGGGAAACTGGCTACAAGCGGCCCAGTGTTGAGAACACTGGAAAGAACTGAGGGAGGCCTATGTCCAGCAGTGGACGCGATTGGCTGATTGATGATAAATATTATATAGAATAAATTAGATTTTTTTTACCGATGGGGGTTAGAGATCCTTTATTATCAGAAAAATCCCATTCCGAATCACTATTTCTTAAGTTATGACAAATGTTTTCATATTATTTTCCATTGTTGCTAGTTGAACCAAAAATTCTTTCTCATATTTTTTGCATCGGCTTTGCCACTCAATAGGAGGGAAAGTGGCAAATAATTGTTCGCATAGTATTTTAGATTATTGATATTAAATGTAATATTTTTTGATGCTACATACGATTTTAAGCTGGCCCGATCGGATCAATTGGATTAAGATCTGGGTGATATGGAGGTAATCTTAAAAATGTATGTACATGTTTTATTGCGATCTCGTCTATTGCATAACGAACATATGCTGGTTTATGCATTTTTACTAAATCGTACAGCTCCGTCTTTAGCATACTATTGTTTATTGGACTATTTCTGGCCTCTAACCATTTCTTTATTAATTCTTTTGTTGATGTTGGTAACTTGTCAATTTGTTTATTGTGATAATTGTATCCACAACTAGTAATCTGTGCATTCTGTCTAATTCTGCTAGTGAGGCAATAAATAATAAACTCCAATTCGATTTAATACTGACTGACTGCTCAACCTCTTTATTTTCAATTGTGTTCTCCATTT